GTCATCAAAGGGCCAGCTTGCAAGACCCCTGATTTAAGCTTAACAAGATGCTGGACTGCTTAACACTCAAAGACACCCCGATTTTGGGAGGGGGGGCTGATAAGTTGGTTCCTGAATATGAGACAGTTTCTTCTTTTGCAAAGGGGCTTCCACGCCTAAGGTATTCAGGGGTTGGACTAGAAGACCTCCAAAGTCCCTTTTAACTATGGGATTCTATGATCACATGTGAGACTCGAATAATAGAAAACATTTGATTCGAGGTAACATTCCATACATTTATTGAGTTATATTACTCTTTGTTTTGCTGGCTGGGCTGGTGTTAAAACCTGGAAGTGTATTCCAAGGACTTTCAGAATACACACGTACATAATAAATGCACAAGCATTTATTAAATATCCTATCGCTATCAAGTGACTCGCTTCTTGGTTAATTTTAATTTTTTTAACTGAAAATGTAATGTCTTAATAAATGCACAAGCATTTATTAAATATCCTATCGCTATCAAGTGACTCACCTCTGGGTTGATGTTTTTTTAACTGAAAATATGTCTTAATGCACAAGCATTTATTAAATATCTTAAATGCACAAGCATTTATTAAATATCCTATCGCTATCAATTGACTCACTTCTTGGTTAATTTTAAATTTTTTAACTGAAAATGTAATGTTAGTAAATGCAGAAGCATTTATTAAATATCCTATTGCTATCAAGTGACTCACCTCTGGGTTAATGTTTTTTTAACTGAAAATGTCTAAATGCACAAGCATTAGATATCTTAAATGCACAAGCATTTATTAGATATCTTAAATGCACAAGCATTTATTAAATATCCTATCGCTATCAAGTGACTCGCCTCTTGGTTAATGTTTTTTTTTTAACAGCAAAATGTAATGTCTTTCTTTTAAGCCTTTTTTTAAATCGTAAATCGCCAAGATTGTAATATCTAAGTAAAAAAACGTTACCCTGAAGAGGCTCAGATTGCCAGGTTCAAAATTCCAAAGGTGCTTTTTCATATTGCAACTGGACTTTTTTCTAGAAGAATCTTCACATTTCGCTATAAAAATGTTAATAACCCAAGCCTAACAATTCCAGGCAAGTCTCGTAAGTCTCGCAAAAGGATCCGAGATGGAGAAAAAAGCGTTTTTAGCTTACTTACATAGCCGTTACACCACCGAGTAGGTTTTTACTAATACACATCTCCAGTTATTTTCATGAAGCAGAATTATCTCAGATTTTTATATATGCTGCAACTCTTTTTCTGAAATTGTGGGTGGCCCTTAAAAGGGCCGTTATTTTTGTCTCTTTTGTCTGGAATCAGCCCCCAAAGCCGTACAAGGTACGCCCTTGGCGCTTCAGCGCGTACACCACGTCCATGGCCGTCACTGTCTTCCTTTTAGCGTGCTCTGTGTAGGTCACGGCATCGCGGATCACGTTCTCCAGGAAGACCTTCAAGACTCCACGGGTCTCTTCGTAGATCAATCCAGAAATTCGCTTCACGCCTCCGCGGCGAGCCAAGCGGCGAATAGCCGGCTTCGTAATGCCTTGGATGTTATCGCGGAGCACCTTCCGGTGCCTTTTCGCTCCCCCTTTGCCCAAGCCCTTTCCGCCTTTCCCACGACCAGACATCCTCAAAATCCAGCAAAAACTGACTTCGAGACTTGGCGGAGGGATGGCTTATAAAGAAGGAAGTCCGACCAGAAAGAAAACTTCGCCACTCTGTCCTCATTGAGCTGGAGTTGAGTTAGGTCGCTATGGTCCAATCAAATGCGAAGCTGACCGCTCAATTCAGCCAATCGCAGCTCGGCCCTCCAAATTCAAACGTCACAAACGGATGTTTCCTAGGCTTCAGCCAATCAGGCTCTGCGAAGCGCCTATAAATACCCCGAAGAGCGGCACCCCAGTTTACAACTCCGGCTGCAGCTTCCCGAGATGGCTCGTACCAAGCAGACAGCTCGCAAGTCCACCGGCGGGAAGGCGCCCCGCAAGCAGCTGGCCACCAAGGCGGCGCGGAAGAGCGCTCCGGCGACGGGCGGCGTGAAGAAGCCTCACCGCTACCGGCCCGGCACCGTGGCCCTGCGGGAGATCCGCCGCTACCAGAAGTCGACGGAGCTGCTGATCCGTAAGCTGCCCTTCCAGCGGCTGGTGCGCGAGATCGCGCAGGACTTCAAGACCGACCTGCGCTTCCAGAGCTCGGCCGTGATGGCGCTGCAGGAGGCGAGCGAGGCCTACCTGGTGGGGCTCTTCGAGGACACCAACCTGTGCGCCATCCACGCAAAGCGCGTCACCATCATGCCCAAGGACATCCAGCTGGCCCGACGCATACGCGGGGAGCGGGCGTAAACAAAACAAAAAACGCCGCCGCGAGGACTTTCCCGCTCCGTTTTCAGAAACCCAAAGGCTCTTTTAAGAGCCACCAAATTACTCTACGGAAAGCGCTGATCATGCCGGCTGTATTTCCAATTACGATCGATTTACACCTAGAAAAAATCTGGGGGGAGACTTGTATTGGGAGCAGATTGCCAGTAATTCTAAATTCATTTAGCATTGAGATCTGCCTTTATCCCCTTCAAATTAGGGATTGAAGCCATAATTTGACCTAAGGTTGAACTAAAATAGATTTGGGCAGTCTATTTGTAATATGGCAGGGTGTTTGCAACCTTGACAACTTTTAACACTTGTGGACTTCATCTCCCAGAATTCCTCAGCCAGCATGGCTACCAATATAAAATATAAATGTTAATATATATATATATAGATAGTAGAGGACAGGAAGGCCTGGAGAAACATTGTCCATGGGGTGGCGATTTTGCAACTAATAACATGAGGCTTATAGGATGGTTCCCCCAAAGCTATTAAAATATTTTTACCTACTGGGTGAGCATTAGGTGTGCTATTTACCGGGATTTTTAGGCTTCCCTGTTAGCATGGCATCCCTGCCTCTTTTTTGAAAATCAGGAAGCCAAATTTAAATTTAAAAAAAAAATAACATGAAAAAGCTGCCTTTTCAGCAACTAAGGAACCGGATAGGCCTCACTCACTTGCACCTTCTAAGATAAAAACCCAGCTGGAAAGGAGGAATGACCCATAAATTGGCCACCTCTGGACTGTTATCTTAAATCAATAAACAACTTTTTTTTCCCCAACTGTCTTGTTTGATTCACTTGGACATTTTCCACATTTCAGTGCCCTCCCTATAAAATGCTTGACTCTCCCTCTAAATGTTTTGATTTATATCCCTTTATTTTTTATATTATAAATAACTTATTTCCTTGTTTTCCACACATACACCCTTACATTTGGCTTTTGCTAAATTTTAACTTTTGCTAAAAAAATTTTTTTTTGCTTTGCCTGAATTACAAGTAAATCTTTTGACAAAGAGATTAAAATGGCAGCACGCCACTTCCCTCCCCTTTCCAAACAGCCCTGCAAGGGAGTCAACTTAATTGTTTTGTTTTAGTGGAAAGCAGCACCTTTTAACATTTTTGTGGGTGGCTCTTAAAAGAGCCTTTGGGGTTTTGTTTTTTTTTGCTTTTGCAAAAGTAAGACTCGATCACTTCTTCACGCCCTTCTTGGGCTTCGCCACTTTCGCTTTAGGGGTCTTGGGCTTCGCTTTGGGTTTCGCCGCCCTGGCTTTGGCGGGGCTTTTAGCCGCCTTTTTCGCTTTAGCCGCCGCCGCCGCTTTGGGCTTCTTGACGCCCTTGGGCGCTTTCTTGACCGCCTTTTTAGGGCTTTTCTTCGGCCCGGCGGCTCCCGGAGCCTTCCTCGCCTTTTTGGCAGGCTTCCTGGCCGGCTGCTGCTGCTGCTGCTTCCTCTTGCGGACCGCCGCCGCCGCCTTCACCTTGGGCTCGGCCTGCTTCTTGTTGAGCTTGAAGGAGCCCGAGGCGCCGGTGCCCTTGGTCTGCAGCAGCGTGCCCTTGGTCACCAGGCTCTTCAGGCCCAGTTTGATGCGGCTGTTGTTCCTCTCCACGTCGTAACCCGAGGCAGCCAGCGACTTCTTCAGCGCGGCCAACGAGATGCCGCCGCGCTCCTTGGACGCCGCCACCGCCTGCATCAGCAGCTCCGTCACGCTGGGGCCGCCCGGCTTCCGCTGCTGCACCTTCGCGGCGGCGGCGCCTGCCGCTCTCTTCGCCTTCGAAACCGGAACCGCCGCCACGGGCGCAGCCGGCGCGACTTCTGCCATCCTGGAGACGAGCCACCCGCTTCCTCCGACGCGGACCCTTCGAGTGCCCGTCAGCGCGGCGGGCGCTGGTATTTATAGGAGAGGAGCTGAGCGCTGATTGGTCCGTTGCCAGCCCGGCGCTTTGTTGGGTCCGACTCCGCTCCTGATGATGGAGATTTTGTGTTTCTGAAGGTGCATAAAAGAGTCGATTAATAAAAATCCCTCGGGCCGATCCCTTCCTTTCCCGGGGGGATCGAAGGGGAGGGTGTCTTCTTTCGGGATCCCGGCTTTCCTTGGCCGGAGCAGCGTAGAAATTGCGGGGAGAAAGCGAGGAGCGCAACATCTCCCGGCTTTTTCTGCCTTGACACGTGTACACTTGTGCCTTTGTTGGGAGATGCTGAAGGGGTCTCTTGGGAAAGCCGCGTGTAAGACCTTGGAAACGGCAGCCTGGGGGGTCTGCAGCTTGACCCGCCCGCCAGGCAAGGATTTCGGCTGATGATTTGCACCGCAATCGCTTCTTTAATCCAGCCAAGTAACACATCGAACGGTCTACACACCTGGGACGTGCGTTTGATGTGGGGGCTTGAAAACGACAAATGCAAAAAAAAAAAAAAAAAGTTGGGGAATTGGGTTATCATTAAATAGAGCCGGGATAAGTGAAGAGTGAAAAAAAAAATAGGGGAGGTGGTTTGGTTTTTAAGCTGTCTGCTTTATCCTTTTTTTCTGCAACTCGGTAACCTAGATTGTTGTTGTTAGTTGCGAAGTCGTGTCCGACCCATTGCGACCCCATGGACCACGTTCCTCCAGGCCTTCCTGTCCTCTACCATCTTCTGGAGTCCATTTAAGCTCACGCCTGCTGCTTCAGTGACTCCATCCAGCCACCTCCTTCTCTGTCGTCCCATTCTTCTCTTGCCCTTCATCTTTCCCAGCATTAGGCCCTTCTCCAGTGAGTCCTTCCTTCTCATTAGGTGGCCCAAGGACTTGAGTTTCCACTTCAGGATCTGGCCTTCTAAAGAGCAGTCGGGGTTGATCTCCTCCAGGACTGACCGGTTGGATCGCCTTGCAGTCCAGGGGACTCGCCGGAGTCTTCTCCAGCACCAGAGTTCAAAGGCCTCCATTCTTTGGCGCTCAGCCTTTCTTATGGTCCAACTTTCACATCCATACGTTGCAACTGGGAAAACCATGGCCTTGACTATCCGCACTTTTGTTGGCAGGGTGAGGAAGGGAAGGGAGAAAGAAAGAAAGGAAGGAAGGAAGGAAGGAAGGGAGAGAGAGAGAGAGAGAGAGAGAGAGAGAGAGAGAGAGAGAGAGAGAGAGAGAGAGAGAGAGAGAGAGAGAGAGAGAGAGAGAGAGAGAGAGAGAGAGAAAGAAAGAAAGAAAGAAAGAAAGAAAGAAAGAAAGAAAGAAAGAAAGAAAGAAAGAAAAACAGATTCAGAAGGGACCTTGGAGATCATCTAGTGGTCCAACCCCCTGCTCAGGCAGGAAACCCTATA